ACTGGCTTCAACCAACATCATTATTCTGTAGCATACCATGGGGATTTTTCTAATTAACTTACTTTTCCCTAAAGTAAATCTTATAAAAAAGAGAAAATGTCTCAAGAAAATTCTGCTTTCATGAATAACAAAAATAAAGCAAGCATGCAGCCAGCAGGGCTGGCTCTCCTCGCCTCTGGAGACTCTTCACTTTAATTTCTTGTGTGACTGAAAACCTAACCAGATCTGAGAGGCAGGCATAAAAGAGGGAAGGAGGAGCATATGTACTAAGGAGAGCATGAATTACCTTACTAATAAACAAGCCTTTCAGTGAAAATTATACCTATCAACCTTTCTTCAGCCTCTTCTTGCAATAACTTTGATAGATTACATAAACCACAGCAGTTAACCAAGCATCTCAATGCCAAGGAAGCATCCACCCAGAAGATTAAGACCTGCCTCACTATGTTAAAGTACTTGAACTCATAAAACATCAAAGACAAGCATCCCCAAAAGTTTCACTCTTCTGATCAATATTCCTGAAATCTCTTTTTTTTTTTTTTTTTTTTTTTTTTTTTGAGTAAGTAGAATGCTAACTACATAAAAGGGATGCCTACTCTTTCTGACAAATATGTGTTAATTGTAGATAAGTATCTAAGTATTAAGATGAATGTGTTACCTCAATGCTATATATTCTTTATCAAAAAAAAGCACTTGTCTCCACCCCCAACATACACAAAGTCAACTTGTTTCCTGTCCCGACATGCACAAGGTCACGTCCCCTAGAGTGAGCACTTGCTGAGCTTATGAACAAGTTCAGTTTCTCAGGACAAGGTAGAGCAGCAAGTCACTCAGAAAACACATACAGAGACTAAGAATAGCTCCTCCTTCTAACTCCAAAGACCCAGAAAGTAAGGCAACTGATAAAGGTGGCAGCATTTACTTACAGAGGAAAACTGACCTGTCCAATATTTGGACTTGTTTTCCAAACTTCAGTAGTGGTGACAATTGGTATCTCAGTCACATTTGAATATGTAGTTCAATGAGCCACAGGCCTGTTAACCTTCATTCAGGGAGGACAGCTGACTAATTATGACTCACACAATAGGAGAAAAAGGAGGCTCAGACATATCCTGGTTTTCTATTTGGGCACAGTGAAGACTGTTAACCTATTGAAAGTCCCTGAAGAGGTGAAATTTCAGGCATGGGTATGATTTAATTCTGCTGTTATTCTAAAAGGTGACAGTTTGCTACAGATAACAGGAAGCATTATCATTTTGACTAGTTTGTCCAAGTCATGTACCCATTACTTTTCATGGTCAGAATGTCAATGAAACTTTTTATGGTTCTTGTATGTGTGTTTGTTTGTTCATTGATTTAGTTTTTATTAGCATATATTCATTTATGACATCTTCATTCAAATATTTTGCATACTTGGATTTATTCTGCATGACCCTCTTCCACCCTCCCTTCCTTGGTGACCCTCCTCCTCTCAAAGAATCCCCCTTCTCCTTTCAAGTCTTTTTCTGAAGTCTGGATTCTGAATATAAGAGGAAATGTGAGATTTTCTTATTTGGTATAGCTTGTTTTACTTAGCATGAGATAATCTCTAACTTTTCCTACAAGTGACATAATTTCATCATTTGAATGAAACTAGAGCATGTACACATGCCAGATCTTTTAAGCCATCCATCAACAGATGGACAACTAGACTATTTCCTTAATTTGGCTCCATGGACAGTGCTTTGGTAAGCATGGATATGCAAGGATCTCTCTGAGAGGCTGACTTAGATTCTCTCAGGTATATACTCAGGAGTGGTGTGGATGACTCACATGGTAATTATATGAACAAATCTTCACAGGAATTTCTATAGTGATCACACTAATTTGCTTTCTTATCAACAGTATAAAAATGTTCCCTTCTCCACATCATCTTCATCAATTTCTGTTTGAATGATAGTCATTAGGGTATGATGGAATCCCGGTGAGGTTTACATTTTTCCATCTTAAACAATCAAAAATAAAATCTGAGGCTTACCAACCCTGAATGATTGACCCAATGTCCTGGAGCTCAGAGGGATAAATAGGTAAACTTAGAACTCTCTGCAGGGGTTTGGAGTAATAGCTCTATGCATAAGAGCACTTATAGCTCTTCCAGAGGACCCATGTTTAGTTCCCAGCTTCTCATGATAGTTTGCAACTGTTTTTAACTCCCAGTCCAAGGGATCTGACATGCTATTCTTACCTTTGAGAGTTTGTGTATAAATATGGTTCACATAGATGCCTTTAGGTACACTCACATACGCAAAACATGAAATAAATATTTCAAAACAGAACTGTCTGACATGAAGCTGATGGTTTCTCTACTGTAACTGTCTCAGAATGTAAGCATGTCTTCCGAAGCATGTACAGTTACAGGTTCTATATCTGTGGGTTCAAGTAATTACAGGTGGCAAATACTCGGGAAAATCACCATGTTTGTATTGAAACTGCAGATTATTTGGGCAAGCCACAGAGGAAACACAGAATTTACCAAGGCAGGAATCACAAAGAAAAGACAGTGTGCAGTGAGGGACAAGAGGAAACACTGAATGATGGTGGGGAGTCCAGACTTTCAGGCTTTCTTCCCAGGCTTAACTCATATCAAGGCTTCTGTTAAAAAGCAGCCAGCATGACATAGGGTCATGGTGATTGTAACCATTAGCCCCAGAGAGCAGCTCATAGACACCACGAACACATATTAGGCTTATTTAACTTGCTACTCCATGTTCTACTTATTCTATCAAAAAAGGCAGGGTAGAGATATTGAGAACTGGTATTCTCTAGCCCTGTTGGTCAATACAATATAGAGAGCATTTCCAAGACCAAGCATCTTCAAAGAATCTAATTCATTTTCAGAAAAGCTCAGTCCACATGCAGATCCATCATTTATGAGCTGATTGACTTGTGGTAAAGGAAGTAGCCTATCAAGGCTCAGATTCCTCACTTAGAGAGTGAAAGGTGCTAAGGTGTTCTAAACAGAAAAGTAAGTACCTTGCAAGACTATGAATCTTCTTGTTTTACACTCATCATCTATGAATATTGACTTCTGATGAATTTTTTGATGGCTGCTTTCAGTTAGAGATTTTGGTGAGCCTCCCTTTTCTATGGAGTATCCATTACAAAACCAGTAACTGTGCCTGAATACTACAGACAAATAGTTGTCACTAAGTATTCATGGAAGGCGAGTATCCACAGAGCATAAAATTCAGAATTGCCCAAGTCCTTTATATAAATGGTATGGTATTTGTATCCAGCCTATTGACATTCTACTTCAAACAACAACTCATCTCTAGAACATATATTATATCTGATACAAGGCAAATGTTATAGATGAATAAATGTTATATTAATTTCCAGAGGAATTATGACAATAAAAGTCTTTCCATGTTCAATACACACAGTGCTATTTCTGAATAGTTGCAACCTGTAATTACTTAAACCCACAGATACAGAACCTGTAATTGCACTTTTGTTCCCTAATGCATGCCTAAAGTAAAGTCTGATTCATAAATTAGGCACAGGAAGAGATTAACAGCGACAACTAATAATAGAAGCTAAACAGAACAATTTTAACAAGCTACTATAATGAAAAATCAGGCAGGTATGCTTTCTCCCTCCTGCCCCTCCTTCCCTTGCTCCCCTATAATGTGTTCATCTGCTGAACTGTGTTTATTAGCCATAGTTAACCAGAAGTCCCAGAACTGAGACTAGCATGGCTACTGCTGAGGAAGGGAGACATGTACACCTAGTGATTTCTCAAGGGTTGCCTTGCCTTCGGGACTACAAACACAGCTTTGTGCCTTGACACCTTAATTATTACTAAGGCTCACTCTACCTTAGAAAACTGGTCATTTTAATTCCCACCACAGTTACCCAAAGTTTCTAATAGGTGGTTCAGATTGGTAATGCCTACTAACAACAAAAATGGTTGATCACTAGTATTATTTCTGAAACAAGTAAGTTCAATTAGAGGCTAGTACTTACTTATCTTAATTTTAATTTTCTACCCTTCTATTAGCTTTTAATCTGAAGCACTTTTAATAGCTAATAGCAAAGTAAAACTAAACTTTACATGTAGGTGTAATATTTGGGACTTGCAGAAGATTTGCTTTCAATTGGGTTTTACAATCCAGAATTTTCCTTCAAAGAAAGTATGAGCAAACTCTTAGCTGGCCACTATAATAGGACTACACTAAGTAATATGTTGTCTCAGCTCAGTTTTCAGAATTGAAGAGCACCAGATGTCAGAGTAAAAGGGGTGTTTGGGACCATGTAGGCGATACAACATCTGATGCTTATTTGTCCAGTGTATGACCACAGCTCCAAAACAGAAAGCCTGACTAACTGGTTATCTACAGATTCCAGTTCAAATACATCTCAGGTCTCAAATATAGGATTTTTTTTTTTGGCTGAATACTAGTCACCAGTAGAGTGTGTTAAATTCTGGTTTGGGCTCCCACTATGAATGACTGTGACAATTAATCTCAGATGTCAACATAATGAGATCTACAATCACTAGGAAGATATGCCCCCTGGGAATGGTTATGGGAGACAATCATTATTAGTCAATTGAACAGGAACACCCATCCTGAAATGAGTTGCTCTGTTCCTTGGATTTGGATCCCGGCTGAAGAAAAAGGAGTAAGCTAGCTGAGGACAAGCATTTACCTCTATGTGCATCCTGATTGTGAATACAACGTGACCAGTTACCTCAAGTTGCTGCTGCCATTTACATCTCCTCCATGATAGATTATTCTATCATGGGATTTAAATAAAAATAAACCATATCTATCTTAAGTTGTTTTTGTCATGGATAGTTGATCACTACAACAGGAAAAATAATTCATACTGTCTTCTAATCAGGGCTTGAAAATAAATAATATATAAATACACATAATAGTCTCCATCCCTTCCCCATTCATCCACATCTCTATAAATATGGAACTGGCCATGGAAACATAAACCATATCAGCAGGTACCTCTTCCAAGGTGGTGTCTGAGATGCCATACCCCATCAAGTGCAAGTGCTGTAAGTTCTGATCCAGAGCCTGACAAAGCCCCTTGAAGCAGGTCTTGTCTGCATCCTTGGGGATGGTATAAGTCATCTCAGCTCCGCTGCTATCTTTGAGGAATGCTTGTGGAATATAGACCTGTATCAAGGATGTAACACGAGCCACATCCTTGGGATCCTGGGCTTCTAGGAAAGAGGGCTACAAGAAAGAGAAATGTGTAAGAAAGCAGTAAGGAAGATCAATCCAAACACTGAGATCTTCATATATGTGTTATTTCAAAATTCTATTACAAAAAAAAAAAGATAGATTGCTGCATTTAAGCAGGAGGGGACCTTCCAATGATGTGTTGCACATTCTCTCTCTCTCTCTCTCTCTCTCTCTCTCTCTCACACACACACACACACACACACACACACATGTGTGTATGTGCACACAGGCACATGTGCACCAATGTGAAAGCCAAAGGACAAGTTCAAGGTCATCCTCAGAAAACTTATCTCCTTTAAGGCAGGGTCTCTCACTGAACCTGGAGCATATTAATTAGGACAGGTTGGCTGGCCAGTCAGTACCAGTGCCTGTCAGCACTGGGATTACAGCACTGGAATACATCAACCCTGGTATTTGTATGTGTGTTCTGGGTTTCTAACTTGATGCCTCATGTTTGCAAGACACTTTGCCAGATGAGCCATCCTCCAAGCCCACTTTTTCTATTTTATAAAACATAAACCTACAGTAGTAAACCTGGTGAGCCTACTCTCAGGTGTGCCCATACTCACTCCAAATGCCCTGGAAACATTTGGAGTGATGCATTTGAGTGATACTATCATTCCCATTTGGAGTGATGCATTTGAGTGATACTATCATTCCTAGAAAAATCATGATAGAGACTCAAGTCCTAGCAGTTGTGCAAAACACAGGGTAGAGTGATCCAAAAGTGAGAACTAGGATTCCTAGCCAAAGATAAAGGGGCCTTCTCTGGATAAGAACATAGTCACCTCAACTAGAGAAAAGGCAAAGGGAAGCCATGCTCAAAGGAGTCAAGGGTAGACATTTTTGAGGGTCACCAAGGATAAGACAGTCATGAATACCTTGCTAGTGAGTTTCTGGATTCTATCCCCAGAATCTGCTCCTTTCCCAGCTGACAATAGGTAATAACAACTACAGATGTGACTTGGGTTTGATCTCTCTGTTTCCAACCATAAATGTTCCATCCTCTAGCTTCTCTGCTTCTAGGATGGGCAAGGTTTGAGTCTGCAGAAGGGAGTTTCACTGTCCAAAATGATTTCTAGAGCTCCTTGCCCACTGTCCTTCCTGACAGTGGCTCTTGGTATCTAGCAAGTCATGCTGACCTCTCTTGTGTTTCTATCTAGAAGATTAAATGCACCCTAGAGCTCACAGAGTATAGCCCTCACTGCTCAGATCAGAAAAAAAATGTTCTTTGGCTCCTGAGGTACTGTGCACAAAAGGCCCCCCACTTCATTACTATTGTACAAGTGTCCTGCTTTGTTTCTGGTGACATGCATGAGACAGGGCTTCCCCAGTGAAATCAACGAGTGGCACTTCTTACTTGTTTGGTGAGCGTCAGGGTGAGTCCTTGGCCATAGGTCTCCTTCAGGCCTGCAGGAGGAGCATAGCATCTGAGTCTCCCCTGCTGAAGGACAGCCACATGGTCACTGAGCATCTCAGCTTCATCCAGGTGGTGGGTTGTGAAGATGATTGTGCGACCTGTGTCCAAGCACAGGATGCATTAGAACCATCATGACAAGAGCCCTGTCCTAAGAATGGTGGACTGGGATAGGATTAGAAGAGAGCTAACAATGTTTTAAATAGTGGAAACTGAAATTGTGCTGTGTAAAAACATAACTATGTCTATTTTGTGAATTAGAGATCCTAAAAATTGTTTCCCAAAAGGTCATGACTGCTGTTTCACAAATGCACTCAGTGCCCTCCTCTATTAGGCTTAGCAGACACTGTGAGGCAGGAAGGGAGAAACAGCTATGAAATAAAGGCCCTAAGTTCAGCAGCTATGTTTTCCAGGGCTTAGATGTAATAGCATTGAAACACACACCACATCCTAGAAATCACTTAGAAACCTTGAACCACAAAAATGAAGGAGACAAGTGTAGGAGCTGGGGATGGGGGATTAATCCTTCCTAAGGGGAGGGATAGCTGAGTCTGGCACAGGGGCTTCCTTCTACAGAAATGCATGTCAAGCTTACACATGTCTACAATGAACTGAGGATTGTGACCTTTCCTTGTGGAGAAGAAAAACTCTGATTCACCTTAGAAGAACAGACGCCAGAGAAACTCAAGTTATTTGAGGAAAGTTATTCCAGTTAATGTAAATAGATCATGTTCTTGATTTTAGCTACTCTTTCTCCATTGGCTCCAATTAAACCTTATTTAACTGGTCTATCAAATAGAATAAACATATTCATTGATTCTTGTTTCAAGAACAAATCCTTAAATAGAGAATGACAAACTTGATTTTAATTCTACTTAATTTCACATTTTTTTTTTTATAAAGGAGAAGGATTAAAAGGCAAAGAGTTTCATTCTTTTTGTCCTCTCCTTGAGTTTTTTTTTTTAATTATTATGTTTGGCTTGTGATTTTATTTGAGTTTTTGAGGCTATATCTCAATCTGTAACCCAAGCTGGTTTAGAGAATACTGTGTAGCCCATGGTTCACTTCAAGTCCACAGCAATATTCCTATCTCAGTCCTAGAATTGCTGGGAGGTAAGCCATGGTAGAAATAAACAATGAGTTGTAGTGAAAAATGCAATAGGGAGTGGAGTGCCCAGTGCCAATTTTTACTATACATATATTACAAAGACCAGGGACAACATCTTTGTCTTTTAGTTCCTAGGTGCTAAGAAAATAGACTCATTGCCTGATCTAGAACCATCAGAGGCAAATTAGTTACTTTGACTAGAGCTATCCTACAGTTCAGGTGCCTGTCCCCATACAACAAAAGTCTAAAAAAGAAGCCCACTCATTCAGACTCTTATGGGGAATGAAGGGGGAAAAGGTGGTGTTAGGGTTTGGGAAAGCAGAAAGAGGGACAGAGAGATGACTGGCTAAATCACACAAAACTTCAGTTATGTAAAGCAGTGGATTTTGGAGACCTGTTATAAAACACAAGGGCTACAGCTATTCAATGTGCACGTGAAAATTACTGAGAGATTATCCCTTCAATAAACACACACACACACACATATATACACACACACACACACACACACACACACCACCACCACCACCACCACCATCACCACCACATTTGTAAGTTAATAGACATTTTAATTAGGTCTATTTAATCTTTTCTCCATGCATACAAATATTAAGCATCATGCCACATGTACAATTTTAACTTGTCAACTACACTTTATTAAAGCAGAAAAAGATAAGTAAGTAAATAATTTCCAATGAATTTAGATCACAGCCACAGATATTTGATCCATTATGGCTTCCTGTTGATATTACAGGAACCCAAGATGCTGTTCTACCCTCAAAGGATATTCTTCCAAGCCCACACCCTATTGTTGCTTCTGATTCTGGTGGTACAGCCTACCCTATCCAGTTCTTCCCAACACTTACAGTTCCTGAATTCATCTCTTGTGTATTTTTAAGTGCACAAGTCCACTTAAGTGAAATGTGCACACACCAGATACTGAGCCATGCACTTTCACAAACAGCTCATTGACTTCAACTTTCCTAATGCTGTGACCCCTTAATATAGTTAGTTCCTCACGTTGTGGTGACCCCAAACCATAAAATTATTTTATTGCTGCTTTACAACAGTAATTTTGCTACTGTTACAAACCATAATATGAATATCTTATATTCAGAATAGCTGATATGAGAGTCTCATTAGAAGGGTCCTTCAACTCCCAAAGGGTTGCAATCAACATGTTAGAACCATTGCCTTGGTGAATTCTATGAGATAGTGAGGCAGGCTACTTTTTCAAAAGAGAAAACTGCAGCTTAGCGGAGCTTGGCCATCTCTCCAACCTCACAAAGGAACTGTACAGCCAGTGTGAAATCTGTTCTAGCCATCTGCTTGTGATGTGCCACCTGGCTCTGGTATCTCTGCCTCATTACTGATCTTTCCATGGTAGACACTAAAATGCTGGCATCAGGGCTGATCAAAAGCTCACATTGTCCACCGAAGAGCAGAACACACACACACACACACACACACACACACACACACACACACACACACACACACACGAGATTCCCAATAGACTGAGCACCTGGTTCCCAGTGTTCTGATGGGCAAATCTCTTTTCTCCTCAGCAGGTAATATCTGTTTCCACACTGTCTTAAATCTTTCTCACAAAGTTGTGCCAGTTGCAAGTTGAGGGTGTTTACAGGAATGGACTGTACATTTTCATTTTTTGAAGACATGTTTTCCTTTTGCTACTGTCTAGCTAATCTTCTTGCAGACTAATAATTTTGCACTTCAATCAATACAGCAGTTCCAAAAGAGTCTTCCAAAGATGAAAACAATCACCATTAAGCAACAAAGGATGTAACAGCAGAGTTTAATGAAGACTCTCTTTTTCTCAGACTTGCACTGCATCTGTCTGTTCTGCTTATTTAAACTTTAAACAAATATCTGTCAACTAACCACTCAAGAAAGGAAGAGCTGGAGGGTGGGGAAGAGAACTGTGAAATGCCACCCTTTGGATATGGTGTCACATGTATGAACTCACAGCACTGAGGCCACCTGCACAAACTCAAGCCATCTGTTGCTGGGAAGGAAGAAAAATTCTTTCTTGAGGATTTGGCCACTGCTAGCTCTCCTATGCTCTGATGGACTGGCTGGACTCAGTGAGCTATTTTAAAAAGCAGAAAATTGGAAATGTAGTGTGTCAATGGGGCAGGGAGACTTGAGGGAGGCAGTGAGGGATGGCTCTGTTCAAAATACATTATATATGTGTAATCATTTTTCGAAAATATTTTAATGAAAAATTATGGATCATTAAAACATAATTAATAAATTTTGTAAAATAACTCTATCTCTGATTCTTAAACAATAGTGGTGGGATTGTACTGGTTAATTTGTACAGTCCACAAGAGCAGGGGGATAATCTATTCATCTAATCCTCATTCATTTTCTTTATGAGCACAATTCAAAGGGACAGGAAAGTCAGGAATCAGATATCAAATTTTAACCAGTGCCATAAGCTGCATTTAGTGTTTTCCATCGGAGCTTCCCATTTTCTCATTCATGGCCCTTCTTCTGTTCTCACAAAGGGCATGTGGGTAAACAGAGCAAAGCGGCTGAAGGGACGCTTGGGGGGGGGGGGAGGTTGAAGAGGATCTAACCTCTTTTGGTCTCTGTGTGATGGCTGAGACCAAAAGGCACTGTCCTCTCACTCCCAGCATTGGTAGCTTGGGCGGGGACTCCCTGAAGGAGTCAGACCCAATGTTTCATATTCCATGCCTCCAGCTTATCTGAGGCAATCAAACTGCAGATCCCGAAACCCACCCCGGCCCCCAGCAAGTCAGTTCCAAGGGCAACAAATCTCACAAGTTCTCACCCCCTCTCAGTGTTGCAGCTGTGGATCTAGCAAGAGTGAGAACGCCAGTTCCTCATGCTTCCCAGGGACACTGAGTTCTACTCAGCATCCTAACCTCCAAGCCAGCTCCATAGATAGAACCTAAATTCTTCTCATGAAGCTTCACAACCCAAACCAAGACCATATGGGACAGCAAAGCCATATCTGCTGGCTCCATTCCCCGGCTTCTCAAACTGTGTTCTCCTGTAATTCCTCAGAACTGCGGGACAGAAGGAACAGAATTGTTGCCTATTTGATGAAGAAAAGGGCAGGCTCTATATTTTTCTTTTCCCCTGGCTTTCTTCTACAGCAAATCCTTATCTACCCCCAAGGAAGCTAGAGTTTTAAGTCAAGCCAAAGTAAAGGCATAATCCAGGAAAGGAAACAGGGGAAGGGAAACAACATGTTATAAGATTGTGTTTTGATAGTCTTTCACCGGCACTGAGATGTGCTTCACTGCTCCCCATGTTCTGCTCAATGAAGTTTCTTTTCTTTTCTTTCTTTTTTTTTTTTTTTTTTTTTTTTGCTGTAAAGTGAAGTTTATTCAGGAAGAAGTCACTTACACAAAAGGCAGGTGATCACCACAAGCCCTGCTCTAAGCATCCACACTGGGCTGCTGTCCATACCCTGGCCAAAAGCAAGAGACCCTCAATGAACATTTCTATGTAAAGTGCCTATTGCATACTTTCTACCTGTCTGGAGTATGGAAACAAAAGAAAAAATGCAGAAACTGCCTAGTCAGTGCTTGCAATGGTCGATGAGCATATTACAAAAGACCTGAACCCCCTAAGGCAGAGATGTGTTTCCCCCTTTGCCAGTCAGCTTTCTCTAGAGATGTGAGACTGTCACATGTCCATCTTACCATGCCTCAGCTTCCTCGTGTAATACAAGGTGCTATCATTTTGATTCTGAGAACTTTTAATGGTCTAAGTATTATGGGCCTATTTGCCAGCCTGATATGCTAATGGAAAACGGTAGGATGGATCTTCGGGAGATGAGGCTTGCTGGAAGGAAGTTAGACCCTTAGAGCATGTCCTTCCTGGGTCTCTGCTTCTATGCCATCATGAAGTGGTCATCTTACCCCATCTACAACAATATACTGTACCATCTGCAGGTTCAAAGCAAAGGACTGCTGAAGGTAGCACTAATAGTCAACCTGAATAGCCTAGAGTCTTTTGAGAGGAGAACCCTCACTTCAGGGATCACCCACGTCAGGCAGGGCTGTGGGTGTGACAGTCAGGAATTGTTATGAATGATGATTGATGTGGGAGGGTCCTGCCCACTGTGGGTACCAGAACCATTCCTGAGCAGGAGGGCCTGAGCTGAATAAGACAGTAAGACAGGATGTGACCCAGAGAGTGAGTCAGCAAACAATGTCTGTCCATGGTTCTTGCCTCCAGTTTCCTGCCTTGAGTTCGTGTTCTGACTGTCTTCACTGTATAATATGACCTGGAACTATATGCTAAAGTAAAACTTTTCTTTCCCAGATTGGCTTTGGTCAGAATATTTTATTCAGGTAACAAGAAAGCAAACTAGAATGAAGACTAACAACTCATCTGGAAGCTTTGAAATTATGGGCACAAACAGTCTTGTTATCTTCTAAGTTAATTATCTGCCACAGCAGTGGAAAGCTGACTAACTCCTGAATATTCTTCTTTGATGACCTCTAATTGCATCCTTTCATCTTTTATGTTTCTGAAGTGGAATGTCATTTGGGCAAAACCAGTTCCAAATGACATTACCTATAACTATATCTCACTAACTGTATCATTGCTAATATTGAATTAAGAGATCAAATACAAAGTAAGTATTCTAAGTATTATAAATATATTAGCAAAAATATAGTTCATAAAATATTAGAATATCTTATTTTTCTGAACAATATCATACATCCTCATTTTAATATGACTTGCTTCATATATTCAATAGCCAACCTTTTCTTAAGCACAGAATTGTGGAAAGAGAAAATGGAATGAGTCTCACCACCTACCTTCCCGATACTTGAGTAGAATGTCCCAGAGGCTGCGACGGGAACAAGGGTCCACCCCACTGCTTGGTTCATCTAGAACCACTGTCTTTGACATGCCCATGAAAGCAATGCCAATGGAGAGTTTCCTCTTCATGCCTCCAGACAGAACTCGAGCTGGCTTGTGCTGATGCTGAGTTAGTTCTACTTCATCAAGAGTTCTGAAACAACAAGAAAGTACTCATTCTTCCGCTTGGACACCTGAAAGCTTTCTCTGAGTTTCATGTCATGTAAAATGACTGATTGTGCCTGAGGTTTTATAAACTGTTCATGGTTCTTATGACAACAGTTAGGGATGCTAGGATGCATAGTAGGCAAAGTAAAATTGAGATTATAGATGTACAGCAGATACCATGTCATTGGGTCAAGCATGATGCTACTCATGGTAGCTGCAAAGCTGTGTGGAAAATACTTTGATCAACTCTCTAAAGAAGTATCTCTCTTCTTTTCATTCAGGTCATCTGCAAAGAAGGGGCGTGAATTCTTCTAATACATATGGAAAGTAGTACATTAACAGAGGCAAAACCCAAGGGTTCACTAGACTCCTTTAACTCACTGGCCCACTGTGCATGAAAATTTTATAGCCCCATCTAACTGACTGTTTAATCAGAAATTTGCAAAGATGCCCTGTGCCAAGTAGAAATTATCAATTATCAGTAACATTAGAGTAAATCTCTAATTGCCTTTTGGTTCTAAGAGTTCTAGATTTCAGAAAACTAACAAAACAAACTTTTTGTATTTATTGTTTTTAAAAATATTTTTATATATTTTTATTATATTCTTTTCCCTCCCCCAGCTTCTCCAGATCCTTTCCACCTCCCTACTCACCCAACTTCATGTTTTTCCCCTCTGTAAAAAAAATTCAAAATAAGCAATCAAACAAAAAAATAAAAAAGACAAAGCAAAATAAAACAAAAAAGCACACAAAAAATATGGAATCCATTTTGTGCTAGAAAATGTACATTGAGTAAGAGTCTTTGGAGCACTCAAATTTCCTTAAAGCTCAGGGATCTATGCAAAAGAAGAAGTAAAAGGATTTGAAGATCCAGACGTGATGAACAACTCTAAGGAAACAATATTTTCTCACCATAACAGGGCTGATGCATGGATGAACTCACAGAGATGGTGTCAGCATGCACAAGTTCAATCCAGACAAAATTTCAGCATGAAGAAAGGGAAGCAGACACAAAGCCCCACTCCTAACCAAGAAGTTATTTGTAATTGTTAGCTACTCTGGGAGAGGGGGAAAACATTGTATTTTCCAATGGAGTAATACTGGGTCCATCAGCTAGGCTCCATGGCAGGTGCCATGCTCAGGAGTAGTTGGCCAGCAAAAAAGACTTTTAATGTGGTGTATATTTATCTTACTATGAGCTCACCCTCATTTCTCACATAATCCCAGCACCAGTATGCTTTAAAGGCACTTCCCTAGCTCTTCCTGACAGCCTACAACTTAAAGGTCACTCTGCAGCAAAGGAGAAGGCTGCCAGACAGGTGTGTGAGATCACAAGGCGTCCACACAGCTGAGCTTCAACAACACTTGGCTCCTGGAATGCTTCCAGATTCCTAGAAAATTAGCAAGGGAATGACAAGGACTTCCTTGTCTAAACAAATAAGGAAAAGTTTCCTGTCAGTTTGATTTTTTTCTGCCTTTTTTTTTTTTGCCTGACACACAAAGAGTTCTCAAATCAGCTTCTTACCGTCCTGTTTTCAATCAAGAACCAAGGCACTGTGTTTAACCCAAGGCTTGGAGTATATTTCCTGCTTGCTACATCTCAACCTAATCTCAGGCAATGACTAAGCCTCTGTTCTCCAGTGTAACCATGGTTTAGAAGATGCCACCGAGAAAGAGAGTATATTAATGACAAGTAAGTCAGCAAAGAAGATAGACAAGAAAATCAGTCTTTAAAAGCTGTCAAATGCTTTCAAACTTGTCTGTTCTGATTTAACATACCAAAGTACTTCCTGTTTATCTCCTCTATGAACAGCACTCAGGATCTGTACCACTGGTCCAGGAACCACGTGTGCATGGGTCCTACTGATGACTGTACCCCCCTGGCATTTGAACCAATGAATATAATACCAGCTAGTGTCGGTGAAGTCCAGATAAAGACACACTGCTAGGACTGTTGGCTTCTTGGGTATTGCCTGAGGACAGGATATGAAAGCCACTCTCTGGGGCTAGAGAAGGAATCTATGGCAAAACCTGATCATTCCCAGTATGCTGGTTTTAGGGCATGTTTATATGCTTAGAACAGACATAAATATTAGATAAAATAAACCACTTGCAAGCATTGCCCAAGTGTTATTATCTGCTGTTTTGTTTTGGTTTTTCTTTGATTTTAAAAGTTCAAGATTACTCAAGGGCTGGTGTTTTCAATTATTATTGAAGTTTGGCAAATCAAAAGAAAATAAATAATTTCTGATTTCTCATAAAAAAGGCAAGAAATATCCCTAATAAGAATATTATTAAGCAGCACAGAAAGGGAGAAAATTTTTTCTCATATCAAGTCCCAATTATGTGCCAAAAACTGTGTTTAGAAACTTCTCTTCAATCATCCATTCATTTATACAGCAGAAGTTTATTGAACCCTTACAATACATAGCACCTGTCACTTTCTAGGGGCAGAGAAATAAATAAAATTTTGTCTTCAATTCAAGAAAATCAGAGTCGGGTGGAAAACCCAGATAAGAAATTACAATAAATATAAAGAAGATAAGTCTTTGGTTGTATAGGAAGGCCCTCTGACTCTAAAGGAAGTAGCAGAAGGGGTCGACCAGATGGACAGGGAGATTTGGCAAGGTGGCAATGTCTTAATAGTATGTTCCAAATAATGTTGCCCCCCCCAGGACTTAGGGGGAAATGAGTGATATATGCAAGAAACAGCAGCAAATCCTATTCTTGCAGTAAAGGAAAGGCCACACACAATGAATGCTGGGTAAGACTGGGGAAATGGGCCTGAGCCAGGTCTCATATCCATCGTAAATCTTCTATCTCTCCAGGTCTAGATGTATGACAGGTGACTCATCATAACCTTAAGACCATCTTCTTCATATTTTCTATAAAACTGGTAACCCTGAAGCCCAGGTCACTGGGAACTGTTCTATCTACCAATATTGCTGTCATATGTCAATCATAAATGTGTTTTTAGTCTGTCCTATCCCTCAGTTTACTCTCTTTGTATTCTTGGGAATTTAGTATCAAACCTGTTGCCTGGCACTGGGAGTTTTGTTTAATAACTTATGGCTTCTAGAAGCATCAGTGTTCACTTCTGTTTAACTTCTGTTAAAACCCATATGTGTAAGTGTATATATTTATATAGAGAGAGCTTCTCATAAAACCCAGGCTGATCTTGAGCTTACTACACAACAGTCGATGACTTTGAGTTTCTGATGCTCTAACTTCCACCTCCCAAATATGAGATTTCAGCTGTGGTAGGCAATCTTAAGCTTCTTTACCAGATCCCTTCACTGCCCTGTAAACAGCACGATTCTATCAAGTAATTGTCTCTCTAGCTCATCCAGTCATTCATTCTCTATTCGACCACTACCAGGAGTGGACAGATAAAAAGGTTCCTGTCTTCACACCATCCTGTAACCTCATTTTCCAGTGTGACATCATTCTAGCTCTCTGTTCTCATTGGAGGAAAATAGTGCTATTGCCATATTCTCTTGCCTTCTCTGATTAAATGGCTCCACAAAGACGTCTATCCCCTTTGAAGCTCAATAATAGCTGTGTAGTAAAGCAAAGGCCAGTTATCAGTCTTTGTCTCACTTTGTCTCACAATGAACAGAATTGAGGCATTGATCCATCTGTCTTCTTTAAGGGGCCAGGTTCACTCTCTAGTCTTTCTTTGTCCCCTCAGCGCTCTCATTTGGCTAGATATTCCTCATCTGACATCATCATCAGGTTACTGTAGCCATGGCTCAGTCATCATTCTCTCAGCTCTACTTTCACACACTGCTCTCATTTTACACCAAGATAACCAGTTCCCATCCTGAGTTCCATAATGTTCACTGGAATTGTATGTGGTAGTGATACAACAGTATTTCAATTGCTCCAGGTCTGAAGATGCTCCTCTCTTGGCTACTCTTGTCTTCCTTAGATCAAAGGAGGGCAGAACAGTCATCATCTGCCTCTTGACAAGTGCTCACTCCATAGATTTCACAAGATCTGCTACCGTCTTTGAACTCACATGTTAATGAATTCAGACCTTAAGGAAAACAAGCTGTGCTACAGAACACTAATCAGAAGTATGGTGGCTCCAAATCAGATGTTTTCAGTTTTCCCTCACTCTAATTGAGAACTACAGTCCTAAAACATGATCTCATTCTGATTGCTTTTGTGTAAATTGGCTTTGTTGCTAGGTAACATGCTGTGAATTGATAACTGTTAAAGGTTGCCTAGCACCAAAATAAGAAAATGATGCCTGTGTAGCACTGTCAGGAGCTTGATTTAAGCCCCTAGTCACAGTCACAGTAGAATTTGCTATGGCCCAACATAGATAAAAACTTTCAAATTAAATAACTATGTAGACTTCAGATTTAAACATGGAAGCATATATACTTGACATAAAAGCAACTGGTTAGTGTATTGGGGGGGGAGTACTAACAGGAAATGTTATAATGAAATTCATCATTTTTGTATAATAAGTAAAAACATGCAAAAGAAACATTAATTGAAACAAGTGACCTATGTCTTTATAGTAAAAAGGAATAGGTTGTATGCAGCCAATTGGCCATCTAGCACATAGGTAGTTCATACAAACTACCTCAAGTTTGACATGGTTTTAAGAGTATAAAGTAACCATGTGCTCTCTACAATCAAAAGGTAACTGTTACATCATTTCTACTACCTCACTCTCTGAAATGATAGTATGAGGTGAACAAAGAATAGCATTTTACAGCAGAGAATATGCCAATGGGGAGAATTTTGAGAGGGAAGGAAACAGAGAAAAAAGCATTTAAACAAACTTTGTGGTACCATATGCCACTTTCCACAAGGGCTCCTGTCCCATGAGGATCTTTCCAATGACTTTGAATTTAATTTGCATCTGACCCTCAGTGAGTGAGCATCTGTCCAGAGGGACATTGGATTTGTTTTACATATGCCCTTGTCATAGCTGGTGTCTAAACAGAGGCTATCTGAAGTTGAAATGATCTAAATGCTGATCTCTTCTGAGATCGAGCAAAGGAAATTTGTGCAATAGTGCATTCCCCTCAAGCACCCTGTCACTTCCTCCTGAAACTTTGCACTAAGAGGCTGTTAGGGGAAGCTGCATGGGGATTTCCCCTGATGCTCTGCTTTTCCATCCTGGTCCCTGAGACAAATGTGAGAGCACCATTCTGGGCATGTGGTCTTGTCTTATTTTATTTCTAACCAAAGAAGGTCCATAACACTGCTTTGACCCATCACTCTAAAATCTTTTGTGTAAACCTAGACAGTTCTGCATCAGAAGATAGTCTACTCAGTTAAGACTTCAGAGAACTATGCTTCTGAGGAAGGTTCCACAAGGAGCCAGGGTCCCTTTACTCCCTTAAGTTTTCTAGTAAAGGATGCTAGGGAAGATGCCTTGATCACAATTTAAAGCTACTGCTGCCTACATTCATTAGACCCATTGATCATAGTTGGTAACCAATAATTTTCACTTCTCGGGCCATCATAATGTTCACAGAGCTAGGTATGCTGTGGTCAAGACAGTGGCACTAAAATGTCCTGAATATCCTCCCTCCCCTGCCCAGACAGTCTTGTCATCCTAGAAACAGATTATCCTCTGTTCCTACATGCTGCAACACAAGGTAAAGGTAGCCAGTTGCACCTGACTTGTAAGAGCCCTAGGGTGCACACCTCACATCCCTGCATGAGGTGTTCATCTCTCTGAGGATCAACTACTATGTCTGCAAATTGGAGACCGCCTCCGAATTGTTCTTGGAAGATAACTTCAAATGAGACAGCATGTCCTCCACTTCCAGAAGGTTCACAGGCACCCCCACTGGCCTACTTTTCCATCACACCCACACCTGTCCACTGCTGCAAAACAAATCTTCTCCATCACCCCCACCCTACCACCTGCTTTTCCTTCGTTTCCTACATGTCTCCATTTCCACTCATGTCCACATCATCTTGTGGACATGTGATGCAGTCCTGTGATGCAGCCTGTACTCCTCTCCAGGTGGTGGTAGACTGGAATAATGTGATTTCTGCCTTTGTATCTGTTGTTCCAAGTTATTATTAGTGTTTATTTCAATTGTTCAGGGATCAATGGGGAGGTAAACAGCAGGGTGCTACTTCTCTGTCTACAGTCTCTCCCAAGGCTGGGCACCTGCTGTGAAATGGAGATATCTACCTTGCAGACCTGACCATCTACCTTGCGGGCCAGTGACAGTCTTGTGTTCATTCAAGCCTCCATACCTGATAACTTTGTTGTTCCTTAGCATGCCAAATACAAATACATCAACCCTTTTCCTTGTCTTCATTTGCACTTTGCTTATTCCAGGTACACAAGACTTCTATTGCCTGTCTAGCCACTCTTTTCATGCTGCTTCAATTCTTTCCCCATTTCTAAGACAAACCATTAAATCTAGAACTTTTCCAGAAAAGCACTCTAAGATCCCCAAGGTTGTTGACTGTGTAGTGCTTTTATATAAAAGAACCATTTGCTAGTTTTTCTTCTCACATACATAGATGCAAATGATATTAAATATTTCTGTGTTCTTCGCCTGCATAACTAGTCAAAGGCTGGAAGAGGAAATATAGAACTGTTTACTAACTTGTTGACTTGCTGCTGTAGCTCCTTCTTGGTCCACCAAGGTGCTTTTATGGCAGCAAAGAGCACTAGGTGTTCCCTTACAGTGAGATTGTCCAGGAGAACATCCTGCTGTGGACACACTCCCAGCTCCTCTCTGACCTTGGACAAATCTGTCTGCAGGTTCTTGCCATTTATGATGATGGTTCCAGAAGTGGGAGGATAGAGCCCCATCAACATGGATCTGCAGAGAACAAAGATTCAGCACAAACAACACTCAGATCCTCTGAACATCAGTGAGCCACTCAGATCCCAGGTGACATGTGCAGCTTACAAAGAACTCACACTTCTGCTGACCAGTTTTCCACATGGTCAATTAAAACATAAGGAATTTGTGGGGGTGTTGGTTTGTCCAACTATGAAATGTAAACATATGAATGCACTCTGTCTCCCAGGGGATAAAGTGTATTGTAGACCTCTACAGTTGTGTCCTACTTATGAATAGTCTGAATAAAAGAAGGTAGGCTCAATTCCATTTATATGTAATTCTAGAATAAACACACAAATTACCAAATAGTAAGTCAGTGGCCATTCAGGAGTCAGAGCCTAAAGATGACACAGGAAATCTTGGAAAGGAAAATAAATATTCTATGTCTTCACTGTGGTGTTTACTCTGACATCACACAAATTTGCCAGCCCTTACTGAACTACATGCATAAACACATGACACTGACTGAACAAAAATTATGTCTCAAGAAATTCAATAGGTAAGTCTTTGTTATAACAATTTCCAATCCTATTTGGGAATACAATAAAGTCATAAATGTAATGATCCCTCAAGTATCCTTGGGAGTTGGTTCCACAATAGCCTCCTTATACCAAAATTTAGATATTCCAGTTTAATGTACAAAAATGTCAGTATGCATGCAGTATGTATAATTTTTCTATGTACTTTAAAGCACTTATATATTGTATTTTTGAATGAATGATTACAAGAAAAAATAACTGTACATATTTAGGGCAGATGTAATATTCTTCAGATAGTTTTAATCTGTGATAGGCAACTCTATGAAAGTGGACTCCCTGGACAGAGATTCAACTCTATCAGCTCTATGAGTCTCAGAGGCCTTTGTTTTAAATGGTAAAGATCCAGTTCAGTAATTGGCTCTCAGGCTCCAAGCACTGCCAGTAAGTAAGAGGCAATCACTTAAGATTACTCCAAATGTACTCAAAATATCACTAAAAAAAAAAAAAAAAAAAAAAAAAAAACTAAGTAGTTAGTGAGTCCTGAAACATCCAGAACCTTCTTATTTAATTATCACCATTCTATAAGACAAGTACACCAAGCTTCCCTGGTAAGATATGTGCATTCATAAATATTTGCTGAGTTATTGCTTCTATAGCTTGTACATTCCCAATTTTCAAGTTCTAAAAAAAGAGAAACCCTTAGTTCTATTTCAGTGTGTGAAGTACAAATAAAAACTCCCTGTGCTCTTCTTTTGACTTGTCTCCAGGGAGAGCTTTCTAGAGTTCCACAGACACTACGTTTCTGCTGTCCTCACTAAGGTTGACGCTATTTCCTTTTCATCATTTTTGCTAATCATACATTAGACCTGTGCACATTTGGTGAGAAAAAGAATAAGAAGTGATTTGCTCAAAGATACACTCCATAATTTTGGCAGTTAGCCTTAAATAAGGCACTGTTCTACAACCTGCTCAAGGATTTTGAAATTTGAACTCATTTTCCCCCTCTAGGGCTACATGATTGAATTCTTTAATCAAATTTTGAGCTATTAGATCCAAAACCCAAATCCAGAACTTAGCAAGAAAAGAGTCAAAGAAAAAGAAGATGGAAAAAAAAGCAAAACTTCTTAAAATTTATAAAGAGTTCTCTTTCTGTCTATAATTATTCATATGAAATTACACTTTAGCAGGTGTCAAAGGACTTCAAGAGATTAAAGTAAAGTATGCTGGATTATTTTAGAAAATAAAAGAAGTTTGGAGTATTACAAAATGTCCATCCACCTCTCCCATTGCAATCTACTCCAGGTCTAAAATATGATTGAGGACTAGGGGGGGGGGGTCCTTTGGAGACAGAGCTTGTTCTTTCTTTAGAATCACTAATCTCTATATGAGATCAAAGCAAAACAACCATAGAAAAATAAAAATGGAAGGAGAAGGAAAGAGGTATGAAGAAGAGGAAAAGAAAAAGAGGAAGGAATGGTGGGAAGGAACAGATAATACTTTCTTGAAAATGAGACACACATGATGGTTGTTTTCCCTGCACCGTTGGTTCCCAGCAGGGCTGTGATCTGGTCTCTGTGGAAGGTGAGGGTGAGTTCTTGGACAGCCACCTTGTGGCCTTCATATTCCTTTGTCACAGATATTAGAGACACTCCTGGAGTGCCTCCTTTTAGCTCTCCTGGGCCATTTTGCTGTGAGAAGCCTGTGTGGAGAATGGACAGTCATCACGAAAAGATTCCAACAACCTGGAAAACAATGCCAACCCTATCCAATCATCTGTTCCTTTGGATCAGAATTCTGGCTCTGGGAGGCACGCCAAGCACTTTCACCGTCTTCATTACCAAAAACAATGAGCAAGATGTGTAATGGCAAAATGCACTGAAGCCAATAACAACAAAGCTTTGATCTCTTATGACAGGAGAACCACTGTGTAAAGAAATACAAATAGATGCTCACTAGGGTTCTGTAGACATGGGAAATAAACAGGCTATTTACACATCAATGTCCACAGGAAATCTTTCTCCTAGAATGAGAGTGGATAGGGGATAGAGGGGGTATATCCTGCATTTCCTAACCCATTCATAATCTACTTCATTAATTAGAACTTAAGTTACTTTTCAATATTCACTCAGAATACAAATCCAGCATGGCAGGATCTAGCTGCTGTATGGTGACCCATCTCCATTAACAGGGATTTCCCTGTAAACGGCTTTTGTGCCTGGCCCACAGGCAAAGGTCATGATGATGTAGAGTGATTGACGTGAATGGTGCTCTCCTATGTTTAAGAACATTTGCTGTTCTAAAACAAAAGTTTTTGGTTTTATGAGGAAGTGATATTCTTGTTCACAGGAGTATCATAGAAGTTAGAACATGTTAAAACATTTTGAAAAAGTTTAAGTGTGTTATACGTAGCAGTTTGCTCTTCCTTTTAGTTTTCTTACACCTGCTCACTGAATTTTAGCAAACTGTAATTATTACAAGTGTAGACAATACATCGAGGGGAACACTATAAATAACAGGTGATGGGAGAATTCCCAGGTTGCCAGGCTTATGCAGACATTACCAAAGAAAGCATTGCAGCTTAGCCCTATGTCAGAGCCCAGAGCAACCCAAATGGAGGAAGGAACCTTGTAGTCTGCCCAAAACAATAGATACCTATATAGAAGTGAAAATCAAAACTGACCACAGGTACATGTATCCAATATAGCTTCTCATTACCCACCTTTGTTGCCAACATCCTCCTTGAAGAAGAATAGGCCAGAACTCAGAGAGCATCGCCGCTTCTCCATGAAACCACACACACTTTTCCAATAGGAAGCAGTGAAGGGAAAATACCATGGTTTCCCTAAACCAAAAGTTCCTAAGAAAGTAAGATACAGTTAAAATCAAAATAATTACTTTTCTACGTACTTGAATCTTAACTAATCTAAAGGAAATGTCATTCTCTACTAATAAATTTCAATATGTATCACATACATAAACCAATCAAATAATGGGGTAGCATGTCCCCTTTTAAGGGGAACCCTAAATATTCCACATTGGTTCAAGCTAGAGATATCTGCTATCCTCCCTCAAATCTACTTCCACCACATGACCTAGAGCTTGGAGAGAATTATTCAGAAAGAACTTTTTACAAAGAATGATAGTAACTCTAGTAATTCCATCTGAAACACATCCATATTCTTTAAACACATTCTCCAGACTCACCTCAGCACAATTAAACCACATTTAACACAGAAAGAAATGAAAGGGTCCCTAATTATTCCCACATCCAAATCTCCTATAACACACACACACACACACACACACACACACACACACACACACACACACACACACACACTCTAGCCTAAGTGTGATTGGGGAAACTTACTTGAAAGCCTAAACTCTATCAGTGACTTGGATTAAAAGGCCCACAGGAAGAGATTTCAGTACTTTGACCATCCAGCAGAAGAGAGATGTGCAAATGCTTACATACTCTAACCAGAATGTTCAAAAAGAAGATCACATCCTCAAAGGAGGGTGAAGGGCTATAACAAGGTCTAATATTGGTTCCTGCTTTTATGTTTTTCTATCCTTAGATTCCTTTGTCGAGACCCTAATCCCTAGCCCTTCAGGATGTACATATTTTGAATAGATGGTTTTTGTTTTGTTTTGTTTTTTTGAAACAGGGTTTCTCTGTATTGCTTTGGAGCCTGTCCTGGAACTAGCTCTGTGGACCAGGCTGGCCTCAAACTCACAGAGGTCTGCCAACAACACCTGGCTGGATAGGTGGGCTTTTAAAAAGTAGTTAGGGAAAAATGAGTTGGGGTGAGTGCTTTTGTTTGTTTGTTTGTTTTTCCCTTGGTAGAAGAAATTAAATAAATGTTTTTTAAAAAAGAGAAACAGAAAAATCACCATGTGTAGACTTTCTATATTTTTATTTTTAAAAATGTTTTCAGTTACAATAGAATTAGAATGCCCCTTTCTCCCTCTAGCTCCTCCCAGCTATCCTGCCTCAAGCCTCTCGCTGCTCCATCAAGCTGATAGCACCTTTTTCTTCGACTATTGCTACATATAGAGATGTAATGTAAATATAGATATATGTATGACGTATATAAATACAACCTGCTAAATCCATCTTGAACTGTTTATATGTATGTAAGTTCAAGGCTGACCCCTTTTCATTAGATAATAAGGAGGTTAATCCCTTGAAGATGCTAATTCTTCTCCTAGCAGTCATTGGTTGCTTTTAGTTTTTTGTTAAGGTGGCCCATCTTCCAAGTCAAAATGCCCATTAATATTGTCATTGTTCTAGTTTTACCAAAGCAATCATTTCTAGAACAGACTATTCCACAGCATGTGAATCATGTTCTATGATTCACAGATGCCAGAGCTGCGATGTGGGTATACTTTTTGGGGCTGGGGTTCCTATATGGTGATCTCTTCGTTTTGCCCAGTTGGGGTCTTCTGTAGTGATCTTCATTCGCCATAAATAGAAGCTCTTTGATTAGAGGAGGTACCTTCATTCTCTGTGGATATAGGTGCTTAGCCATGTTCATTCATGACACTTGGGAAATGATACTTAGGTTTGTTCAACCTATCCCTGATCTCTCTAAGACCTTTATCATGAAAAGGTGTTAGAATTTGTCTAAGGCTTTTTCAGCATCTAGTGAGAGGATCATGTGGTTTTCCTTTTTCAGTTTGTTTATATGGTGGATCACATTGATAGATTTTCACATGTTGAACCATTCCTACATCTCTGGGATGAAGCCTACTTCGTGATGGTGGATGATTTCTCTGATGTGTTCTTGGATTCGACTTGTCAGTATTTTATTGAGCATTTTCGCATCAATGCTCATGAGGGGTATTGGTCTGTAGTTCTCTTTCTTAGTTGTGTCTTTGTGTGGGTTGGTTACCAAGGTAATTGTAACCTCATAAAAAAAAGTTTGGTAATGAGCCTTCTGTTTCTATTGTGTGGAACAACTTGATGAGTATTGGTATTAGTTCTACTTTAAATTTCTGGTAGAATTCTGCACTGAAGCCCATATGGCCCTGGGCTTTTTTTGGTTGGGAGATTTTTGATGACTGCTTTTTATTTCATTGGGGGTTATATGTCTATTTATCTGTTCTTGATTTATTTTGGTAAGTGATATCTACCCAGAAAATTGTCCATTTCCTTTAATTTTTTAATTTTGTGGAGTACAGGTTCTGAAGGTATGACCTGAAAATTCTCTGGATTTCCTTGGTGTCCTTTGTTATGTCCCCATTTTCATTTCTGATTTTGTTGATTTTCATGTTCTCACTCTGCTTTTTGGTTTGTTTGGATGATTTTCTCAAACAACAAACTCTTTGTTTCATTGATTCTTTCTATTGTTTTCCTGGTTTTTACTTTGTTGATTTCAGCCCTCAAATTGATGGTTTTCTGGCATCTACTCCTCTGGGGTGAGTTTGCTTCTTTTTGTTCCAGGATTTTCATTTGGGCTGTTAATTCTCTAATGTGACTATCCTCCATTTTCTTCATATAGGCACTTAGTGCAATGAACTTTCCTCATAGCACTGTTTTCAAAGTGTCCCATAAGTTCAGGTATGTTGTGTCTTCATTCTCGTTGAACTGTAGGAAATCTTTAATTTATTTCTTTATTTCTTCCTTATCCCAGGAATGACGCATTTGTGCATTGTTCAGCTTCCGTGAGGTTGTAGGGTTTCTGTAGCTTATGCTGTTGTTGAACTCCAACTTTAAAGCATGGTGGTCGGATAAGATACAGGGGGGCTATTCCAAATTTTTTGTATCTGTTGAGGTTGCCTAGTATGTGGTCGACTTTAGAGAAGATTCCATGTGCAATAAAGGAATTTCAGGAGGCATTACTATCTCCTGCTTCAAGCTCTACTATAGAGTTATAGTCCTGAAAACAGCTTGGTAGTGACACAAAAATAGCCAGATAGACCAATGGAATCAAATTGAAAATCCTGATATTAACCCACACACCTATAAACACCTGATTTTTGACAAAACAGCTAAAATTATACAATAGAAGGATGAAAGCACAGTTGCTGGCACCACTGGAAGTTGGTGTGTAGAAGACTGCAGAAAGACTATCACCATGCACAAAACTTAAGTCCAAATGGATCAAAGACCTCAAATAAATCTGTCCACACTGAACCTCTTAAAAGAGAAAGTGTGAGGTACCCTTGAACAAATTAGTACAGGAGACCACTTCCTGAACATAACACTAGTAGCATAGACACTGAGATCTACAATTAATAAAAGGGACCTCCTCAAACTTAGAAGTTTCTGTAAGTAAAGGACACAGTTGACAAGACCAGAAGGCAGCGCATAGACTGGGAAAAGATCTTCACCAACCCCACATCAAATAGAGGGCTGATCTCCAAAATATACACTCAAAAAACTAGTCAACCAAAACACCAAAACACCCTATTAAAAAATGGGGTACAGAACTGAATAGAGAATTCTCAATAGAGGAATACAAAATGACTGAAAGATACTTAAGACAGTGCTCAACATCCCTAGCCACCAGAGAAATGCATGTACTCATGGATTTTAGACATAGAGCAAAGGATCACCAGGCTATAACTCACACAGCCAGAGAAACTAGTATACAAGGAGGAACTTAAGAGATTCATACAAGGTCCCTCACAAAAGTGCAAAGGAACAAGATCTCCTGAGCATATTGGGAGTGGGGAGGGGGCAGTAAGTGAGGAGGGAGTTAGGAGAAAGAGAAGGGGAAAAGAGGAGAAGATGGTGGACCAGGAATATTGAGTCAGGGGATGAATAGATGAGAAAATAATAATAATAATAATAATAATAATAATTAATAATAATAATAATGAGAGAGATAACATAATAGGTTTGAAAAGAAAATTAATTCTAGAGAAATGTCCAGAGATCTACAAGGATGACCCCAACTAACAATCTGAGCAACAGTGAAAAGGCTACTTTAAATGTCCTTTAAATGATAACTAACTTATATGCCATCATAGAGCCCTCATCTAGTAGCTGATAGAAACAGAAGCAGACACCCTTAGCTAAACACTGAGCCGAACTCCTGGAATCAAGTGCAGAAAAGGAGGAGTGGTAAGAAAGGGTGTCAAGACCAGGCTAGAAAAACCCACAGAGACAGCTGACCTGAACAAGAAGGAGCTCATGGACTCCCAGATTCATAGCTTGGAAACCAGCATTGGACTCACTCAGACCCCCTGAGCGTGAATCTCAGATAGACGTTCTGCCTCTGCCAGTGGAACCAGGAGATGTATCCCTGATGCACAAAAGGACTTTGGGGTCACATTCCCCATGGAGGGATACTCCCTTAGCCCAGAGGCAGGAGCTATAAAAAAAATGAGATCATAAAATTTTCAGGTAAATGGACAGACCTAGAAAAGATCATATTGAGTGAGGGATTAAGACTCAGAAAGACAAATGCTGCATGTTCTCATTTATCTGTGGTTTCTAGCTCCAAGTCCTCATATGTGAGTATATAACCAGGACAGTAGAAAGAAATAAAGAGTGGTGGATGCTGGGAGGAGAATAGCAAGGACTTGCCCAAATAACAGAGTTGATGGCTCCAGAAGCCATGCTGTGGCTGTCTTCTACTCTCATATTACCTGCTATGTAAAGGTATACTATCCTCCACTGGTATACCAGCAAGAAGATCTTGGGGTATCCTTTCACACAATGTTCCCTTGCCTCAAACAAAAGGAGAAAGCTCATCTCATCTATGGGTCCCAGCTTAATTATAAATTATTCAATGAGCTTCATCACACACAAGCATGAACAATGCATTTTTTGAAACAAAAGAGATAACAAGCAAACAAATACAATGGGAAATTATTCTGCATTTGCCAGCTGCTGCCCCCAGTCTC